CTGGCGGGTGTATGGCTACCGGCGGTACGCCGAGTTTAGCACGGGCTGAAAGCCCATTAAAAGCTGATCAGATGCCTGGAAGGCACGGCTTGAAAGCACACCTCTGTGCCGAGAAATCTGCAATTTTCGATTCGCAGAACAATTACTCTAATAATCAAGAAGCATTTGATAAATATGCAAATTTGCCCGCCGGCGGTAAAGATGTAAATCTGGCCGCGCCGTTCAACTTGGCGGCTAATCCATCTTCCAATGCCGTAGCCCAAGCTCAAAGAAACTGGGCAGACATGACAGAGGATATAAATCCTGAAATTGAGGACAACTTTACTCTTGTCCAGAGAAGGAAGAGACGCCGCGGCTTGGCGGATTCGCCTACAGCGAATGCACCATCCTCCAATGTCGGAGGTTCTAGGACCGATCGCCGACCGCGATCATCCACGGGATGGGCGCCGCGGGCGGAGGAGATTAGGACCACCAGGGCGCATATCGCGGAGGCCAGGGCGCAGCAGGCGTCCTCCTCTGAGGAGTACTGCGTGTATATCGAACGCAGCCCCGACCTAGAGCCCTTCCACTACCTAAGGGCACTGGACAGAATGGTCGGAGGAACCGGCGGAGTCGTCCAGGTTTCCAAGGTCAACGGACTCTACCTGCTGGGACTAACCAACAGAGGCCTGGTCGAGCGCCTCATAAGCGAGGGCCTCGAGGTTGAGGGCACACTCCTGAAAGCATTCCCTTTCCGCAAAAGAGCGGAGAGGATAACAGTTGGAAACCTGCCCTTCTTCGTGGCGGACTCTGTCATCATCAACGCCCTCTCGACATTTGGGCGTGTTACATCCATCGCGCCCAAACTGATGAAGGCTGGCCCTTACATCTACAATGATGGCCGCCGAGAGGCGTTCATTGCCCTCCACGAAGGAGTGACTATCGAAAGGCTTCCTACCCGCCTCGAGATCAAAATAAAAGGCGAGACCTGGCCCGCATACCTGACCTCTGGAATCAGGTGTTCCAGGTGCCACGGTCAAGGACACCGTAGGGCCATCTGCCCCCTGCTTGCAGGGCTGGCCAACAACACCAGAATGGCCCCACCAACCACTCCTGCCGGCGTCCCACCACCGACCACCCCTGCACCGCCTCAGCGATCAGCAGCCCAGCCTCCTGCACCGGCATCCTCCGACCCAGCCTCGGAGACTCCCGGCGCTCCTCCTGAGGCCCGAGCTGTAACTACATCTACAGCACCTCGGCCATCTCCACCAGTGGCCCCGGCCGTATCTATGGAGAAGGCGCCTTCTGCCCCTCCACCTGTGACCCCTGCTCCGTCCCTGCAGGCGCCTGAGGGTCCCGTGGGCCCTCGCCCGGCCAATTCACAACATCCAGAGCCGCCTCCCGCTCGGCCGGACTTCGTTGCCCCGCGTGGCCCTCTGCCCGCCCAGAAGACCCTCGGGCCTGCGGCCCCAACACCGGACGTGGAAATGTCCACCACTGAGGAGCCCTCTGCTCCCTCACCAGCCGCAGTTTCAGCACCCCCACTGCCTGCGCCTCAGCCTGCTGGGCCGACACCATCTGCTCCCCACAAAGAGGATCCGACACCGGCTATGACACCTCCGTCCCTACCACCTACCCCGATGGAGGAAGACCTGCCGCCGAACCTGGGTGATTGCATCGATGAAATTTTGAGAGAGATCATCATGTCCAAAATCAACCCTGGACCCTTGGTCGATGATGACACCTCCTGGACCGACGCCATTGATGCCATCCTACATCCCCATTCTAGGGCGCCTTTCCTTGCGAGACTCTCGCCTCTTTTGAAGAAAAACTACGCTGTCTTTTTCGAGGCGGCCATCGAGCGCGCTCGGGATTCCCATCCCAGGATCCTCAGCGGGTTGTCCGAGCTCTGGAGGGCCTTGGCTCCCAAGACTAGACGTCACCGCGGCAAGCGCTAACCTAGTGTATATACCCCTCTCTTCTCTCTTTCTCTTTGAGATGTAACATTGTCTAGAAGACAATAAATAATTTTCAATTGTCAATTGTCACACACACACACACACACACACACACACACACACACACACACCACACACACACACACACACACACACACACACACACACACACACACACACACACACACACTGAAGGCATATATTTGATCAAAATATCATTTATTATATTTTATATTATATCATCATACCTTCATATCATATATCAAGGTATTATAACATATTATCTTGAAAAAGTGATAAAGCACAATTTGGATTATAATCAAAGAAAATAAGAAAATAATAAATTATTTGGATTAGGTCTTATTTTCTTTTATTATCTTGATAAAGGTTGGAGTTCAGCCAACTGAAATATTGGTAAAAATAAATTATATTTTGATCCAATATATGCCTTTTTAATTAAAGATTTATTTATGGATTGCTCTATTTTCAAAACTGTATGTATGTATGTCAATATTCAATTAATAAAAAAAAAAGACAACAAAAGTTTTTGGTATTTTCTTTTATTGTTGGTGGAAAAAAAAAAACAAAAAAAAACTAAAATGCTAATAACAAATTTTAAAATAGTAATAATAATAATACAATACAAAAAATATATATATTCACAATAGTTTATACTCTCTAAGGGGAAAAATGGGGTCAAAATGTATTAATAAAACTTCTAAGTATGGAATGTTGTCACTTTACTACTGATATATGCAACTCTAGGTGCAAATAGGGAGAGTACAAAATTAAAATGGAGGGGGGGGACCAAACACACTTTTCATCTAAAAAAAAAAAAGGATTTATTCTATGATACAGCAATTTCATTTTGACCATAGAGATAAAATGATGAGTGATGATGATGATACAATCTGTGAATTCACCAGGGTGACAAAAAATGATGATGATAATAATACCATGTCATTGAAAAATAACAAAATTGTGACATTTTCTGATGTTACAAAAAAAAAAAAGATTAAGACGCTGCAATTCTTATAAAAAGAGTTGTGACATCTTTATGATTTTTTTGTAATTTGTTAACATCTGTAATCCTGTGATAGTGAATTTTCTGATGTATTCAAGAGGTTGCGCTGACAAATTGTATTAAGCCTAAATAAAACATAATTATTAGGGAAGATCTATGAATTATATCTCTTTGTTATACCTGGCAATAAAAAAAAAAAACATTTTTTCTAATGCTTTTATAAAGGAAGACCTTTTCATGAAAAGGAAGAAGGTAAAAAAAAATGGAGAGACAGAGAGTATTGAAAAAAAATCTGTTTTGTATACTTTCAACAACTCTGAGAACTTGTCATCTGACAAAAGAAAGATCTTATATAATATAAAAACTTTATTATAAAAAAATGTTTAGTAAAAAAAAAGGATTTAAACAAAGATTACAAATAAGCCCAACATTTTGGTAGAATACCAATGGTATTAACTAAATGTGACATATTCAGTTTGCTTATTTGATCTTGTACTTTTTTTAATACTGTAACCATCAAGAATTAAAAAGTATCTCCTGATTGTGCAACTAAAAATTTCCGATGGCTTGCGCCATCTGTTTTTATATTGGAAAATCCAACAGATGATGCAAGCCATCAGTAACTTTCAGTTGCAACAATCAGTGAAATGCTTTTTTTTTCTTAATTTATCGACTTTATTCAGAGTACAATTTCACTTTTTTACTATTTTTTCATGTTGTCATCAATTCATTGCATTAGTTCAGTCTTATCCCTTAGCATTTAGAATCTTCCATTCATTTATATTCTAACCACTTCAATATTTATACTAAGCATAACAAAAAACATCACTTTTATGCAAAAAGTTGCCTTTAATGATAAAATATGGACAAGCTTTCAGACAGAGACTGTTTAACAGGTTGTTAGTGATAGCTTAAAATTGGATGGAAAGACACCTCTTCTATTAAAACAAATGCTTAATCTAAAGTGCCCTCTATTGACCATCTCTGCAAACTAGCAGAATAATTACCTTTAGTTTAAGCATTTGTTTTGATCCTCCAGACAAAATTTCATTTTATGTTTGGAATTAGAACTTATACACCTCAGAATAGTACCATGACTGGGAAGACCATCAGTGAGATAGGAAGATCCCAAGACTGGTTGCTGTAGAAAGATGGAGGAGTGGTGACATTGTGACCTACAGTAGTGGAGACTTCTGACTGAAGACATGCTAGTCCATCAAGGTAATATGTCAGAATAATATTTGCATATCTATCTCTATTTTTGATATATTTGACAAATGTAAGATTTTTTTTTTTTCATCACCAAATGTGATACAATACAATTTGGATTATAGATTAGATACACAAGGTAATAAGACCAAATCTAAATAAATAGTTTATGACATTTCACTAACAGTGTTGTTACACATCATCAGACAAAAGTGCTGAATGGTAACAACACTTACTGAAATTTCACACACCATTTATTTAGTCTTATTACCTTCAGTTTCATCACAAAGCATTTCTAAAATGTAACAAAAAGAGCAATAGATATGCAAATATATATTCTTATGTAAATAAGTTCTCTCATTAGTTACAAGTAACCCATTGAAGGGGCCAAGTCTGAAAGAATGTCCATATATTTTCAACAATAAAGATTTCACATAAAAGTGATGCTTTAGAAAGTTAAATCTTCCATAATTCCATCTTACCTACCAGAACGTGCAAATAGGTATCAGAATAACCAGAGAAAACAATAAGAAAGCTAATCAAGTTATTATACAAGCCTAGTTAAAACCTACAGCAATACTGTGTGACCTCAGCAATTAACTATCTTGTGGCAAAAGATGGCACCACTAAATCAAAGCGTAACATTCCCCTACAAGGTGGCGCATGCAAATTCTACATATGTCCCACATCAGAATAATTTACTAATATAAAAAGCCAAAGAGTATTCAATCATCAATCAGAGCCTATATCTCTTCATTCTTTATCAGCTAGCTGTATCTGTCTTCTTCAGTTGGGGCTTAAATAAATAAAACTGTTTATTTAATTATGCCTAAATTATACCACATTGAAAACATCAGTTCTCATCTAATCACCAAAGTTAAGCAATGTCGGTCAGTACTTGGGAGGGTGACCACCTGACAACACTGGGTGCTGTAGCCTAATTCCTTTTAGAATTTGCATAAAGCAAATGGCGCACGCTGGAGAAATAAAACTTTGTTTATAATGATTGAATGTTTACCATTAGATTAGCTCAACAAACACAAATATATATACATGATACAAAGTTATTAGAAAAAAAAGCCTTTTTTTTTTGGATATCTAGGTGGGAGATCGAAAATATGCAAACTTTACATTTTTAAATATGTAAATCGAAAAATATATATATACTCATAAAAAAAAAGAGAAAAAGAGAGAGACTGTAATTCAATTTCAACAACTTCACGAACAATAAAAACCAATTACAACAAAACACATGTCAACATTATTTCCAAATAACAACAAAGGAAAAAAATAAAAGAAATAACAAAAAAAAAAGTATTGGAATGATTAAGACAAATAACAAAAGGTTTACATATACACCTTACAAAAAAAAACACAAATATAAAAAATAAATTGTCAACAAATAAATACCAAAAAAAAAAATTTTTTTTTAAACAACAAAAAAAGTGACAAAATTGAAATGGAGGAATTCAGCATAATCTCAAACAAAGAATTGAAAAATTCAAATAATGATAAACCCAGGAAATACCTCAGTTTTATAAATATACCATCTTATTATAATAATTTTCAAAAGTTTATTTAGAGTTGGGGGGGAGTTAATTAATAATCCATTATAAGGGCAATAAAGAAAGTGTATCTGATTCTGTGAAATAATTTTTTTAAAAGTAATACAGTAGAACCTTCCTTTAGAGGACACCTCTCAACAAAGGTCAGTTTACATTTACTAAATTACCATTTTTACTATTTAGCAACTCTCCAGTAAGAGGACACCTCTCCCTAAAGGACAGTTTTACTCTGCAATTAGGTGTTGTCCTTTACAGGGAGGTAGTTCTACCATATATATATAAATACAGTAGAACCCCCTCTATAGCAAACCCCAATGGGACTGAACCTTTGGTTCACTATAGCCATGGTTCGTTATAGCCATAGTATAGTGTATTATAAAATAAAAATTGGGATTATTTCAGGTCTTATATGGAAAGTTTCACTACATCCCAGGTTTATTTTAGCAGGGTTTTACTGTGTGTATATTTAAAATCCATATAAACATATGAATTATTCATCTCTAAGGATTTAATTGTTAGAATAATCAAAATTTGCATAAACACCCAACCAAGTATAGAGTGATTTAAATGCCTATTTCCATATTCACTAGAGAGTATGTATGCAAATTTGACCAAGAAGTGATGTTAAACCCTGGGGAAGTTAAAATTATAATAATATGCAACAATGAATAAAGTTCCAGTGGACTGAAATACAAAACTTTGTTACTGTCTGGAGAGAAGGGATGTATAAAATAATAAGATTTTAAATCAAATGAGCCTATATGTAAATAAGAGTACTTCAACTATGTAAATCTCATACACACACATTATAGGTATATATATATACACTTCACATTAATAATAAACATGTATAAATATATACATACATCTACACTCATGGACAAAGCTTAAGGAAGCTGCAAGATATTTAATACAGTGACTTTTATTGAGACACGAGATAACCAAGTGTGAACAAAATTACCTCTGTCTTCTTAAAAAAAAAAAAATAGACAACCGATGACATCAAAGACTTTCCACTTCCTAAGTTTTGTTCATGAGTGTATATATATATGATACACTTTATATATACAGTCCAAACTTCTTTAATTCAACACCCAACAAGGAATTAGAAATTTTTCTTTTAAAGTAAATAGCCTAATTGGGGATTTGAAAAACTGTTGAATTAAGGTCTGTGTGTTGAATTAAAGGGGTACTTTCTACATATTAATAATAAATATTATGTAGATATATGAATATATATATATATGATGTACACCAAGAGTTCTAAGAACATATTAACTAGAGTATTAATTGAAATAAAATCATAACAACAAAAAAGTTTTTTTCTTAATTTATCCACTGATTCCAGTTCCACAATTTCACTTTTGTACTCTCTCATGGAATAAAAAAGATGTTAAAAAATATAATTTTAAAATATTGTAGCAAAGTACAGATTATTAATATAACTATACATAACAAAAAATAAATGGTTGTCTTTACACAAATTTTACTTCTTCAATATTTTAGCTGAGGATGAATGGGCTCCATTATGTAATAGTATTGGTTGAGATGGTGTTTGTTTAGGATTAAGTAGTGTGTGAAGAGGAATAAGATGATAATTCTTAAATAGAATTAGGAGAGTTGTCAACAGTTCTGTCACAGTACAATTAATCATCAATGAATGCCAGCAAGAATGGAAATCTAATGCTGCACATGACTGATACAGAGCAGGAGCATCGGTTCTATCCTCCCAAGAGAACAACAGTCTTTGATTTCCAGACTTAAGTCTGGTCATATACTGGACAATGACAGAATGGTTGCAAGGTTTTTCCACTATGTACTAAGTATCAACCTGCAACCTCAAACCACATTATTGACTGTATTGGCTTATCCATTGATGAGCTCTACTCAGCATTCCCAGCAAATACACCATCAAAAATCTCAAGATCCACAGGCTCAATGATACCTAAATAGGATTGTTGAGTGGAGATAAGAAGAAGGCTGTACCTCTAGCAAACTTCCATCCTCAATAGATTGATCTATTATATAAACCTAACTTACATAGCGTCAATTGTACAAAATGTTCCTTCTGACAATTATGCCTTCCTTCTCAATATTTTTCAATCATCCACTTCAGTATAAGCCATTAATGCACTCTCTGTATGTAAGAAAGAAACCATTTATTGTGTTCTCCAATTAACTTCTAACTGTCTTTACTGCTATTTACAAAAAGTTTAAAAGATTAAAAAACCTTTTGAAATAAGTTTGTTTATTATAAAAGAAAACAAGACCTAATACAAATAATTTATTAGTGTGTGACGTTTCGGCAACAACATTGTCACCATCGTCAGACAAAAGAATAAATGGCATGTTGTTGCCGAAACGTCACACACTAATAAATTATTTGTATTAGGTCTTATTTTCTTTTATTATAATCTATAATCCAAATTGTGCTTTATCAAAGTTTGTTTATTATAAAATTGCTAGCTTTCAAGTTCCCACTCTTCAACAGGCAAATTATATCTGATATAATTTTGTCTGTTAAAGAGTGAAAGCTCGCAGTTTTTATAATAAACAAAACTTGTGAAAAGTGTTTGATCTTCTTTGATCTTTTTGTAAAAGTATATCACTTATATTTGTCTTTACTGCAATGAGAAAACATGTAGAGAGGGCCTGGCTCATCAGTGGTGAGAACCCTACAATACAATAGTAGAACAGTCTGGAAGGTTAAACTGCTGGAAGGATTCACCATTGATGACCCTTCTCAATATTTTGTACATTGCAGTAAAGAACGAAGAAAAGGGTTTTTTTTTAATTAATGATAAGTTACAATTTGGATTATAGATTAGAAACATAAGGTAACAAGACTAAATCAAAATTAATAAAATGTTTGTGAAGTTTCTGTAACAACACTGTTACCATTCAGTACTTTTATCTGATGATGGTAACAATGTTGTTGCTGAAACATTACAAATATTTTATACGTGATAAAGCACAATTTGGATAATAGATTATAATAAAAGAAAATAAGACCTAATCCAAATAATTTATTAGTGTGTTTAATGCTGTGTTTTCTCAACTTCTTGAAGTAGAGGAGAGCTTCAGATACTGAATTAATGCTGTGTTTTCTCAACTTCTTGAAGTAGAGGAGAGTGGATTAGGTCTTATTTTCTTTTAAATATTTTATACATTTGGATTTGTCTAGTTAGCCTAAGTTTTTTTTTTTGTATTAAAAAACTAAAGACTATATATAGGAGGGTCTTCATGAGTGGACGACATTTCTCTTGCAAATCACCCTTTTTTTTAATTTTACTAAGTATTTTATTAAATTACAAAAATTTGACTGCAAAACCAAAATAAAGAAAAGAAAAACTTTAAGTAAATTATATAGAACTTTTACTATAAAATAAAGGTAGATTTAAAATACACAAGAATAAATAAATTTGAAAAAGAATTGATTAGAAAATAGTGAAGATATATTGATAAAAAAACTAAAAAGAAACACAAAGACTAGAGACAAATGAGGGAAAAAAAACGACTAAATGATGACAAGTCTTAAATTTGGCTAGAAAAGGAGAAGATGACCAGATTAAACAAAAAGATATAAAAAAATATCTTGTATCTCTCAATGAAAAAGAATATGAAAAAAAAAAGTTGACCAGGATACCAAGTAAAATATCAGCATCAACACTCGAAGAAAATAACATAATTTCTAGCAATCAAATATAATTATATATAACCTGCCTTAGAAGTCACTTATTTTGGGAGTTTTACTGTCTTAGGAGTTGATTTTCAGTGGGAACTGTTTATTTTTCCATTAAGTTAAACACAAGGTAATAAGACCAAATCCAAATAAATAAATAGTGTGTGACGTTTCGGTAAAAGCGTTGTTACCATCTTCAGACAAAAGTACTGAATGAAAGTAATGAAGATGGTAACAACGCTGTTTCCAAAACGTCACACACTATTTATTTATTTGGATTTGGTCTTATTACCTTGTCTTTATAATCTATAATCCAAATTGGGCCTTATCATTTCCATTAAGTTAGTTATCTTACTCATTCTTGGAATTTCTTCGATTAATTGGGCATCTGTGACTCTGTCTAGTACATTCATGTCAAAAATTTCCAAGCCCTTAAAGGCTAAATATGTTGAATATCCTAGATTAAGAGCATCATTGAATTTGCATAAGTAAGAATAGTTTAAGGTTTATATAATAACCTAATAACTTTATTCAACCTGTCTTGATAAGGTACAATTTGGATTATAGATTATAAACACAAGGTAATAAGACCAAATCTGAATAAATAAATAGTGTGTGATGTTTCTCTAACAGCATTGTTACCTTCAGACAATTGAGTATTTTTGTCTGATGATCAACATTGTTACAGAAAC